AGTATAGTTCTTATAAAGCTTATTAATAATAAAGTAAAACGCTTTTAAGTTTTCTAAGAAAGTGTTATTATAGGTATAGTTTTTATAACCTCTACTACCTTCTCTATTACTACCTCTATTACTACCTCTACTAGTATTCTTTATAGTATTATTAGAGAGTAGAATAAAGAAGTAGAGTTATTTAAGGTAATAGAGCTTCTAACTAAAGGTAGTAAAGTTATTAATATAGTGCTTATTATCTAGAAGTAGTTTAATATAGGTACGCTACTAGGTTAGAAGCTTTTTATAAACTTAAAGAATTATCTTTTTATTATTCTAAAGAAAAGTAGTAACACTAGACTAGAAGTAAGCTAAAAAGGTACTAATATTCTTACTAGTCTTTATATTTACTTTCTTATTATAAAGATTATAGGCGTTATAATAAGTATTAAGATAACTATAGCTTCTATTAAGAATATTCTAAACTTATTATACTTACTAGAATTTATAACTAAAAACGTACTAGCTAATAGAGATACTTTACTAGGCTATACTACTAGTTTTTATATAAATAAAGTTAAGCTACTCTACTTTATTACTTTTAAATGTAGTAGTATACGCGTAGAATAAGCTTATTACGTTAAGCTTTTACTTCTAGTAGGTATCTACGTAGGTACTAATAGATTCTTTAAACTTATTAGGTTTAAGTTACTTAGAATAGTAAGTATTATATATAGAAGTAGGTAGAGAGATATAGTTTAAAAATCTAAAATAGTTAGTAGCGTATTTATAACGCTTAAGGTAAAGTATATAAGCTAAACTATTAAACTTATCTAAGTTAGAGCTATTAGAATTACTAGTAGAGAAAGTAGAAGAAGTTTTCTTAATAAGTATAGTTAGGTAGAAAATCTTCTTAAGAGCTTTAATATAGGTAGTATACTTCTTTTTATAAGTCTTCTTATAAGTATCTTTCTACTTATATACTTAGCTAGCTTATTACTTAGTAGTAATATAGTATTCTTTAAGCTAAACTATAGTAGTGTAAGTATTACCTTTTACTAAGCGTAGTTACTCTAGTAAATATACACTCTTACTATTAGACTTAAGTAGCTCTTATTAGAGAACGCCTTAGAACTTATTATTCTTAGTAGCCTAAAGGCGTAGTAGGTAAGTAGTATTATACTTATTAGTAAGTTCTTTCTAGATCTCTTTAAGGTAACTAATATATATAGCTAAGTTATTATTAAGATAGAAGATAGTATTAAAAAGTAGCTTATAGAGCTTAACACTATCTTATAATATATAAATAGAACTATTCTTAAAGAGTATTTTATTAAGATTACTAATATACTTAGTCTAACCTTATATATTTACTTTATAGGCTACTAGAATAGGCTAGCTACCTTATAGAAGGTTAGGCTTTAGAATAATATAGCTAGTAATCTTATAGTTAATTAGAATATAGAAAGTAACGTAATAAGTAGTAACTTTAGGTTCTAGAGATAAAAAGTAGTATTATTTACTGCCTAGAGCTATAATAGGCTCTAGTAGTAACTAAAAGTAATAGAAGAGCTTAGAAGCTAGATAGCTTAACTCTTTAGTATTATAGTTAGAGTTATTATTAGCGTTATAAGACTTATTACGTAAACTACTAAAAGTATTAAATAGGTCTAGATAGTAAGCGCTACTATAGGTAATATAACTAAGTAGTGCGCTAAGTAAGCTATAGTAGAGTTACTTTTTACTACTATAAGTCTTAGTAATATTAAAAAGCTAATTAGAGAAAGTAACGCTTTTACTACTTATTAGTAGCTTAACTAAGTTACTATAAGCGTAGCTATTAGTAGAATAGTAGATTTAGATATAGTTACTATTATTATTCTTAGAGTTAGTAAGATAGCTACTACCTCTACTAAAGAAGATATACTAGAAGCTATTCTTAAAGAAGCTAGAGATATTAGAGAGACTACTATTACGTAGGTTAGAGAAGCTATAAAAGTAGAAAAAAACTTAATAAAAGTTCTAAGAACTAAACACTATAGTTATAAAAGAGTTCTAGGTAGGTGTAGTAGACTATACGCTAAAGTACAAGAACTAGAATAGTTAAAACTACTAGACGCTGCGCTAACTATAAGTAGTAAAGACTATAGTAGGTTTAGTAAATAAGAGAGCAGCGCTAAGAGTATTAACTACTAAGTTAATTTTAACACTTACTATAGCCTAGCTAAGACTAGTATTACGTAAAAAAAAATATAAAAAGTATCTTTAATTAGAGAACTATTTAGTAAAGTAATTAATAATATTATTATAATTAGTATAGAGTCTTATAGAAGTAACTAGCTAAAACGCTAGATTACTATAAAGAGTTTAGAGAACTATAATAACGTATAAAGGTTATATAGAGATTAGATAATAATATTATATTAAATTATAATATTATTATAGTAGAGCTTAGAAGAAGTACTTAGAGGTTAAATATATATAGTGTAGATTATTAGACTAACACAGGCCTAACGCCTAAGAAACTAAACTATTATAGCTTAGTTTTAGTTCTTAAAACTTTTAAAAGAATATATATACTACTACTTACTATAAAATAAAGTATTTAGAAAATATACTTATATTATAACTATATACTATAATACTTAACTATATTATATTTTTATTTTTATACTAGTATACTTAATAAAGTAATTATTTATTTTATATATAAAAAATACTAGCTTAAGTACTTTTTTATTAATAAAAGTTAGTACTTATAAACTTATAGCTAATACTACTATATAAAATAGTTCTATATTATTCTTAATATAAATAAGTATATAACTATAACTATAAGTATTCTAAGTAAATATTATATAATATAAATATATTATAAAGTAAATAATTTAAATATTAAATAAGTAACTACTAATTAAGATAAAGTTTAAAAAAAAGTAAAGTAATAGTATATTACCTAGTAATAATTAATAAACTATTACCTACTTAATAATATTTATAAAATCTACTTATACTTTACTTATACTTATACTAAGTAAGATTACTTAATTATTTTAAATATTAATTTCTAATAGCTAGTTTTAAAAAAGTAAAGTCTATTACTAGTATATAAAAAGATATATTTATAAAAGAGTTAAAATTCTATATTTAGAGGTATAAGTGTTAGATAGACTAAAGCTTAATAAGTAAAGTAATAAAGAATACTTTATAAAAGTACTATTCTATTAACTAACTATAATCTTTACACTTCTAAGACTAACTTATTTTTATTATAAATTAAGTACTTTACTAGGTAAAGAAAAAGCTAATATTACTAATATATTTCTAGCATTCTTTATTATAATACTCCTAAAATCAGTTAGCTAGAGCTAATTCTCCTGTAAACTCGCCAACGCCCTCTTCTTCTGCTCCTCGCCCATAGGTTGCGGTAGCAGCCCGGAATCCGGGTGCCACATCTCCTCATACGTCGCCTTCGTTCCATCAGCCTCCTCGAGTTCTGGCGTGAGCGCGCGATACTCTGGAGGAACGCGGTCCAAGAACGCTTTCACCAGCCGAGGGCTCAACCCGACAGCATCAAGGACTGCACGATCCGCCGACAGATTTCGCAGAACGCCATCTTTGCCCAGGGATATGACGCTCAGAGCAAGAGGGTCTTTGTTGAATTTGGCAAGGATGGCGGTTATTTCTTGCTGGTCGGGTGTGTTGCGATCGAATGTGTGGGGTGGGTTGGGTTGTGCTTCCGATGGGGTTGGCTCTGCTGAAGTTGCTTCTGAAGGAGTGTTTGTAGTCATTGTTTGATAGTTTGGAGCCGGCAGGGTAGTGTTTGAGGTATGTGGGTGAGGTTTTGCTGCTCAGTTTGCAGTCGTGCTGCAGATAAGCATGGCGGAACCGGTGAACGCCTGGGCAGCCACATTGACATTGGAACCGCGTCATGTGTGCTGATCGCGATCATGTTGGCACTTGGCAATTTAAGAAGGATTTATTCCCCGGCATGTCATGCATTGGCTTGCATACGTGGATAGATTGGATTGGACGATATGCAGTAGGCTAATTGTCAATGAACCAAAGAGGAGGTTGTGAAGAGCGTGGTCGTGAGGAAGTGGAGTGACTGTGGACGTCTAAGGCTTGGGATGTGTAACTTCACTGTCTGATCTGCTTTCTGATCATCACTAAAGCCTGGCAGCAACAGCTAAGAAACCACTGTATTACTAAGAGGGTTGCGTCCTTCATTTTTACGCACCACCCCCTGATATGAGTACAGCTTTCAAGGAGTATTGCTGAAGACGCGATGGGAACAAAGCGAGTGGGAAGCTGCATCACGACGATAGAAGCACGAGACCGAAAGAAAGTGGAATGGGTAGTACAACAAATAGCATTTAGCATCCTAGAGCATAGTGAATGCATGCTACCCAAGACAACCTGGTATCCCGCAACGCCGTACGATGCGCAGCCCATAAACCCCTGACCAGGGAAAGCGAGAGCCCAAACGCCAATACAGATACTCTGTACACACATCATCATCATTTTCGTATACAATCCATATCCTCCGCTCAAGCTATAGGGCCACTCGCGCCAGGAGCAGCATCCGCTTCATTTCTACTCGAGCCTCCTTGTTGCGCTGAACTCTCATCAGCTCTTTCCCTCCTCGAACGACCAGAGAAGACATCACTCAGTCTGGCACTGATACGCCTATTCCTCCTGTCGCGCGCGCCGTCGATGTCCTCAGCACTCGCGTTGGCACTGCCACTTGCGACATCACCACTTTGATTCCTCCGTTGTTCTCTTAGTCGTCGTAGAGCAGAAATGCGCTCTTCGGGTGACGCGTTCGGTCGTTGACGGAGGGATAGGATGTCGAAGAGCGCGGTGCGGCGACGGTGGGATGTGTCGCCTTCGGGGTTGAGAGGGGGAGCGAGCTCATCTTCTTGTGATCCTGTGGAATCACGCGAGTTGACTGGGCGGAGGTCGACCCGGCTAGTAGAAATTAGTACAATGTTTGTGTGTGAAGTCGAGGATTAACATACCATAACGGACATGTGCCGGACACGTTTAGTAACCATGGGTCCACGCATTCTGGATGGAACTTGTGGTCGCATGGGAGAACACGGAGATCCTGACCCTTCTCGAAGTCTTCGGTACAGATCGAGCATCCCAGGCCTTCATCTGGTGAAGCATTGTCGGTACCCGTTGTCGCACCAGCGGCAACAGGCTGTGCCGGCGCGATGCCGGATTGCTGCTCTTCCGCGGGATCCGATGTTACGACCTGTGCTGTCTCAGTCGCACCAGGCACAGAAGCTGGAGCCGTATCGTGCTGTGTCGCAGCTGTTCCTCCGCTCGCTTGCGCTTCCGTGTCCGTGTTCACGCCATTCACATCCCGTGTTTCTGCCGTCGATCCCAGTTCGACATCGGTCGGTTTCGCCGGCTCTTTCTCGCCAAACTTGACGATGGGTATGGTATCCAATATAGCTCGTCCCAAGCCCCTTGCCCTGCTTTGCCTTGGTCGTCCGAGTACGTTTCGAGGGCCGTATCGCTCGGGGTGACGATGCGCGCGGACGGCGCCGGTGATGATGATGACGAGGAACAAGGCTGTGATGATGCCGGTGATGCTGTACAAAATGATCATGGCAACGGCGGTCGACGGCGATGGCCCCAAGGGGTTCTGCTGACCGTATTGGCCGTTGTTGCCGGAGTCGTTGTTCCCCTCATCCCGCGCCTTGACTTGAACGAAGTATTTCATGGCTGCCGGCATGTCGATGATGTCGTTGCGCACCTTTGCCGAGTCCGCTCTGTTTGTCATCGAGTATATGGCGAACTCGTCCATCATGACCTGTGTCCTGTCCTGAGTGTAGTTGCAGTAGTCTGACGTCCTGCTGTACAGGATGACTGCCGAGATGTTGCCTTGCAAGTAGGTTTGTTCGAAGACGCCCTGCGCAGATTCGTAGCCGTTGTAGTCGGTGGTGTCGCAGCTGATGTATGCGATTTCGTCATTGGATATGCCGACGACGCTGGTGTAGTTTGTATTGTACAAATTGCCCTGGACCTAGTGCTTTGTCAGTGCATGAAGGCTATGCGACGAATAGTGTTTGACGAACTGAGTTGGCGGCATCCTTAGTCAATGGGATCAGATCGGCTATCCTGGTCCCGTCGTCGCCCTGAGCGTTAGTGAGCGGCAGAGTGCCGTCGTAAAGATTTGTACGCGCGGTAGACGTGTTAGACGAGGATATCGTGGCCGAGGCGACGGTCGCGAACAAGAGCCACGCCAATCGCGACGGCAGGCGGCGCGGTCGCACGAGCAGCATCTCAGGGTCTATGCTGTGTATGATGCAACACTGGGTAGCAATATCGCTCGCTCAGCAGCGAACGGCTGACCGTCGGCCTTATCGATGACCAGCACACCAGGCCCGACGCCTCATGGAGAGAAGATCTCGAGCGCGGGGTGTGGCTTCCGCTGTCGCGCGTTCAAAGCCCAGGCGGTTCAAGCGAGTATACGACAAAGCAAATCCCGCAACTGCGCACTACCATATCGCGCGCGAACACCAAACCGCGACATAGAAATAGACGGGGCAGAGAGGGTCGATTGAAGCCTCGACGGAGAGGCGCGGACGGCCATGGCGTATCGATTGATCTTCACACGCCCGCTGACGCCGGCGACCCACTGTAATCTGCCACTCCGAGAGTGCCGCACCATGTGCGCGCACCCTCCTCTCCAATCCTCCCACGTTGGATCGCCCGGGGGACCCACTCCATGCGCTGCGACTTGCGGACTTCGTCGCATCGTGACCTGTAAGATATACCCGCCTCACTCCGCGCATCTCGACTTCGCACGCCCATCGCAGGATGCTGTGAAGCCGTCGTCACCTGCATGGCTGAGCAGCGTTTACGGTCCGACTTCATGTGTCTTTGATCTATAGGCTTCACGTAGACGACTATGCGAAACACGATGTTCAAACAGATCCTGATCAAGTTTCTGTCAGCAGTCCGAGTTAGGAGCTCATGCATATACTTTCTCTGGTGCCGCACCGAAAGAACATTGCACGCTGCATGGGCTAATCATCGATCACCGCTCGACTTGCGTGCAGCCCAATATGGTTTTTACTTCACAGATCAACAGAGCATCTTCATGTCCGATTACGTGGCAGTAGTGCCACTATTTGTGCGTTTCATAACTAATTATTCCCAATATAAAGTTTTCCTCAAACGCCTGCGCTATGTACCTTTTGTGCAGAAACCTGCCCATTGCAAACACTCATTAACATTCTTCTAACATCCCCCTCCATACCTCAATATCACAATAAAGCTTTTCAGTACGCCACGCCACTGCGACCTCTTCCAGGTGTCTTGAATGTCATGGACTGCACCTGCTGCTCGACCAAACCCCCAAGCGCCAGCGTGTCCATCGGATCGACGCCCATCTTCTGGAAGTCGTTGAATCCGGAAAGGTAGAAGCCAGCAATGACCACGAGATACGACAAGATAAGAATAGAGCCCTTGAAGTAGTTGCTCTTACCCTCGCCGTACATGTACGACAAGAGAAAGACGCAGAGGATGACAGTAACCATGTCCCATTGCGGGAAGATGAGAGTGAACGTCTGGCTGGCAACGTCCTGAGCGGGAATGTACCCCGTGTGAATGGCACTGTAAAACACCAAAGCCGGAATCTGCAGGAGGCACACTTGGAGAGCGTATGCGGAACCAATCTCCATGGAAAGAGCAATGTTACCGTTCATGGCAAACGAGATGGCGTTGAGGAATTCAGTCGTGTTGGGAACTAGTGCGAAGAGCGTGATACCCAAGAACTTCTCGTCAATGTCAGAGCCCTCGAGAACACCATCAACGGTATTGACGAGGATCTCTGCGATGATGGCATATGCGACGGTCGCAGTGAGCAGGATAGCAGCACTCTTTTGCCGGCTCCAGTTCGGTGCGTCGTGTCCACCCGAGGCGTGTCCAGTCGCTGTATCAAGCTCCTCGGGTGCAGCTTCTGTGTTCGTTCGCGTGTGAGCGGGGCGTTCTGCATGCGCTTTGGTTGATGTATGGGCGAGTTGCGCTGCCTTGCGTGGAGCCCTGGTAACGTCACGCGTCGCCAAAGCGGTCGTTGTTGCCGCGATCTCAGTGATTTGTCGCGCAAGCGACTCTGCAGCATCATCTGTAAGTCCCTCAACGTGGAAAGAGTGGTGCGAGACAGCGTCGCTCTCTTTTGGCGGTACCATGTGCGGTGTGTTGCTATCCGATTTGGATCCAGGCCGACCGGTGTCTGATGCAGTGTGTTCAGGACCAAGACCGACTTCTTGCAAAGTCTGGCTAACCATACGCTTGTACAGCTGGCTGTCGCGTATGTGCGCACGAGAAATGGAATTTCCGGTCGCTTGCCTGACGAAAGAAGCGTGTGGGAAGTCCATGTGCCCGCTTTGACTGAGACTGCTGGCGCTCATCTCGAGTATCTTCTTCTCTTGTGCATCTGGCTCAGTCCAAATTGTCGCGGCATGAGTACGCAGGGTGAACAGAAGACCAATGATGTAGGAGAAGAACAGCAGAGTTGCCGCAAACCAGGTGTAGGGCTTCACAGCTTCGTTGTAGAAGCGATCGTTGAGTGCTGGTGTTTGTGAGTAGTAACATCTACGGCAGTCTCGCTCAAGGGGAACGTGGTGATTAGAGTGCACGCATTGGTGGCAGTTGAGTTCATGCTGGTTTTAATTAGCACAGGATCGACGTGCAATGGGGCTATACTCACGCTTCCATAGATCTGGTAGAACAATGTCGGACCGAAAGCGCCAATAACGGCGAATAGCAGCATGGTTGAAGTGACACCAGCGGATCGCACGTTGAAACGTTGAGTCTTACGCTTGAGGGCGCCAAAGCACATAGACAATCCTGGTAGGAAAAGAATACCTGCAAAGATACTGCCGATGATACTACCTTCGACAAGTTGAGCTTTGCCTTGTTTGAGGGCCACGCAGTACAGGAAGACTTCGACAACAGTGGAGAAGAAAGCGTTGATAGTAGCACCAACACCCATTGAGGATTGAGCTGAGATGGAAGCCACGGCCTGACCGATGAAGTATGCTAGTGGAATGATTGACAACAGTGCTAGCGAGAACAACAAGAACTGATCTGTCAGCCAGAACTTCATCTCTAAAGCCTCAGCCAAGACAAAGTAGTCGAAGATTGTGAAGGCGACCAGGCCAAGGAGGTTGATCAGGAAGATGTTGGTTCCGTCAATGGTGTACTTCCAGTACTTGATACCGACTGCGCGGTAGGTACAGAGCAGGATTGAGGACGACTCTCCGGGGCGGCGCACGTTGCCGTTGTCAGAGTGGAACGAGAGCGCCAGGGGATGGCGTCGCAGATGGTCGAACAGCAGCAGGGTAGTCTTGCCCATGGGTATGGTGAAGACGAGGAACCAGCACAGAGCTGAGACGAGGAACAGCGAGGGTGTGAGGAAGCCGTAGAAGAACAAGAAGAAGACGACGCGGCCAAGATTCCACTTGCCGCGGCCAAAAAGCCTTCTCTTAGTGTTGGCTGTGTCGGTGTGGTTGACATTGGCACGTCCATCTCTACCGAGGAGGCTTGTCGTCTCTCCGCCTGTGGAATCTACGCTGTTGCGTCGGCGGCCGATCAAGGAGCTTGTTCCGGTGGTTGGGCCAAAGAAAAGGCGTCCTTCTTCGATATCGCCGCTCTGCCACTGCTCGTACTCGCTGATGCTGCGACCCTCGCCCTCGTCCTCTTCTATGTAGGCCTCATCCTGCATGAGCTTGACGTATTTGCCGAAGGGGTAGAAGAGGTAGCCGGCTAGGGCGAAGAGCAAATGGGAGTAATCCTTGCAGCTTTCGTTAAAGCCCAGGAGCGCGCACAGCAGACCACCCACCGTAGCAACAGCAGCTAGCCACCATCCGAATACGAGGGTCCATACGAGGTTGAAGAGAAGCAGCCATCGGCTGACAAAGAGGCCTGGCGACGAGTGGATGTCTTCTTCAGCGTTGCGCTGGACCGAGCGACCCTTCTTGTAAAGCGCGGGCTTCCAGATTCTGATACCGAATGGATGTGTGACGTTGATGGCATCCTGGCGGTCGCGCAGGGTGAAGCTCTCGGCGTCGCTCAGGTCGTCGTCTTCATCGCCGCCTCCGCTCTCCTCTTCCTCTGCTTGTACAGTCTCCTCGCTGGACGAGGGCGTCGCGTCGGCATCGGCGCCGGTCGGAGGGCCGGCGTTCTCCTGCTCGACCTCGTCATCTTCGGTCGAGTCGATGGTGGCTAGGTTGGGCGGGGGCGCGGCGGTGCGGCGGCGGACGGTCGAAGGCTTGCGGCGCAGTGTCTGTCGCTGCTTCTTCTGCTGGTCCTGCTGGGCCTGGTCCAGCTCCACCTCCTCTTCGGCGTCGTCGACACTGAACTCCTGCCCCTTCTGCGGCCATTTCGACGACGTAGCGCGCCGGCTCATGGGCGGCTTCTTGGGCTTGGTGGAGCTTTCGTGCGCCGTCGCTGCGGCCTGCTGGCGTCGCTCGATGCCGGACGTGATGGAGCCTGCAGTGGCGTTAGCATCGTGACATCCTCCCCGGGTCGCCAGATGAATCGCGTACCATAGCCAGAGGGTTGCATGGCAGCTTGCGGCCGTCTGCGCGCCGAGTCGCTGGGCGTCGCGCTCTGGGTGGGCGTGTCGCTGCCGGTGCCATAGGTGCTGCTGCGGCGCGACGTGTCGGGGGACGGCTTCGCTTTACCCGCGGCGGGCGTGCGATCTTCCATGGTGGTGTCGCTGTGCGAGGGCGCTGTGAGGTTGGGCAAGGGCAGGCTGTCAGACTATCTGTAGTTCAACCTTGTTTTGGGAGCTGCTGTGGTCACAGCTCAAATGCTCAAACTACGTGGCTCTCCGCACAAGTCACGATTCTGCCGCCGTACAATGACAGCTATTAGGCAAGGGCAAAGATGCATTACCGCGCTCGTCGTGCCCCTCTGGAGTGTCCGTGTGGGTGGGAGAAAGCTGCAGATGACCCTGTTAGACGTCCCATTCCCCGGCGATCCATGACTTTAGCGCCCAATGTCTCACCCTGCTCCAGATAAGATAACCACTGCCCAGGCAAGCTGCACGTAATTATCGGCTTCCGCGGCAACTGAATCTCAATGTCAAGAACCGCCTAGAACAACGGTCGCTATTAGTGCTATACTACAATGCTGAACGTGGCGGTGCTAGCATGATGTCATCTGAGCTGTGGCTGGCCCGGGGAGAAGCAGTACTAAGGTAGTCTCCTGCACCCCAACATCCCAATCCTACACCCTCCCAAGACACACGACATAAGAAAAGACATCTGCTGCTGCTAGAACAAGGCGCGAACGCCCAGATAGCTAGGTCCTCTGCAGTCTAGAACAATGAGCATTTCGATATCCACGCCTGCATGCGGCTCCACGCACTAGTGTCATCAATGGTTAGCGTTCAGCCAAGCTCGAATGTCACATGCGTGTCGTCGGGCACGTGTACCACCCTTGAGCTGGCAAATCTTCCATCGGCATCTGGTTCTACAGTACAGAATCGGTTCGCCTGATCATTAATCGAGATGTACCAGTTTCTCATACTGTGCCGCTGTAGAAGCTACGGCACTAGTCCGCCTCGTCGTCTATGATGCTGCAGCCCTGCCCAGGTGGAGCCGCGAACCCCTCATCCGGCACTAGGCATGTGTACCAGTCGTGTTGCAGTTCACAAGACATCGACGTATTATCGAAGTTCTATTTCCATCCAGGTAGAGGAATACGTTGTCTCGAGATGTATCCAGTTGTCGACATTTGATAGTGCGTATTCGGCAACATCAATACAAATCTGGCCACGCCTGGTGCCAGTAGCGCAATGCGCGAGTAAAGCCATATATGCAGCCACAGCTGGGGCACACTCAGCCGCACTCAACCAGAATTCGGATAATGCTTGAAAAGGCCGGCCTCCCATATGTAATGACTGGTTTCTGGCAGCCAACCTCGGAAGCCAACCCCTGACGTCTCTCTTTACTTCCTGTCGTCTCAATCGTGCTGAGATATGGACCTCCTGAACATCTTCCTCGTAACCACGAGCGTTTGTGCATTCGCCTACACAGTTCATCTCGTCTACTTGGACAAAATACGCCTACAGAGCGGGATTGTTGCAGAGGATACATCGAGAAAGCGTGCTCGGCTCCTCCAAGCGGGACCAGTCATCTGCTCGATACTGGCTGTAGTTGCCTTGGTTGTTGTACCGTTACTCGGTAACAGCAGATCTGAAGCCTGTTTGCAAGAAAACCACGAAATCAATCCGGATGTTGGGGGCATTGGTGTCCTGTTTGGCCTTTTTCTACCTTGTCTTGTACTCCTCCTAGTACTAATCTTAGGTCATTTCACAGCACATACTTCAGGTGCGAAGGAACTTTGCATGGCTCAGTGTGCAAGTAAGTTGCGAAGAAATTTGAAGGCTATTCTGGGTTTAACATGGCATAGACTTGCTTTATCTCACGATCAATCTTGCCAAGGGGAGGAAAGGACTAAACTCTCAGGAGCTTGTCATTGCTCTCTCTAGCATTGATGCAGTTAGTGCTTCGGTATCGATGGCCTTTTCGGATAAGGACGTGCTTGCTGCTCGGAAGCTGGTTAGCTTTGGGTTCCTGACGCAGATTGCCGCGTCTATTGTGCAGGCTATAGCTTTCAGCACATACATCCGGCGTGACAAGATACCGTGTCAGTCCTCTACAACGCACCAATCGTCGTCCCAGCACTATTCGGCAGCATACTGGATTTACTTGGCTTTCCGCATCGCGGCATCAGTATTTCCATGCGAAGTAGCCTACCGTCTCACATCGAGCCTGAACAAGATCGAAAACAAGAACAATGCTACACGAAGCGCACGCGTTAAAGCCACAGCTCTCTGGAGATCACTACCAGGCACCTTAGCAACAAGCTATCTGATCTATTGGTCATTTGTGGTGCTCCATGGACTATCTATACTCAACGTCCTGCGTGGAACCAACACTATTGGACAATCCTGGCAGAGTTTGACAAGCGAATGGGGGCAAAGTGCCAATGCCATCATAGCGATTTTTGCCATTTGCCATGTTGCATACGCCATCTGGAGGCTATTCACTGCTGAGAGCGTGGATGAACGTGCGCAGACCGCCACACCTAGTGGACTGCCAATCAGCCAGGCATACAAACAGCCAATCAGGAAGAGCTGGAGACCCTGGGTTTGGATTATGCAGCGATGGCCTTTCCATCTGGGACTAGACTACTCAGACCATCTCTTGGTAGACGAAAGTATGGTTGAAAGGGTACTGAAACCGCCCCTGATAATCGACCACATAGCGCGCAAGAAGCTTTGGCAAGACCTCATGGATGGCTTTACCTACAATGACCCTGACGGCATCATCGACTGTCTAGACCAAGGAGCTCCTGTGAATGAACCCAATGATGATGGCGACTATCCCATTCATCTAGCTGCTCGCTACAACAATACCGATATCCTAGTCAAAACACGCTTCAAATTTGCCAAGGACTCAATCAACCACGACTCCCTGTTGCTTAAGAACTCGGCCTCTGAGACCCCTTTGGAAGTTGCATGCAATGCAAACACGCTTGAGGCCGTTCGTTGGACGATGGAGCATCTCCCACAAACCCACACGGATGCAGAAGATGCTGTGCGTCGAGCTTTCAAAATCGCTATCCTTGGGGAAAAGGTGGGTGTTGTGAGGATTTTGCAGCACTTGTGGCCTGCATGGAGAGCACTGAAGATACGATCAGGGACCCGTAAAGTGTCACTACTTTGCTTTGCTATCATTGAGCGTAAAGCGAAACCTGCGTACCTACTTACTGATCCTGAAATCGTAAGAAGAAGGCAGACAAATGCCCGCAGGATCTTTGAACTGGGTTGGAAATTGAACTTAGACGGTTCTTATATAGAGGCGATCCTGGACAATCGTCAGGATCAGTTCTCGATGATTGACTTCGGCTTTAAGTTGATCAATGGGGTAATTCGCGACTCAAACCTCGACAGTCGTGAAGCTTTGGAGCTCCTACTTGATCTGAAGGTTGACGTCTCAGATATCCTTCGACAGTCAGTACAACATGCAGCGCGCCACAACTTTCACCCCGATCGAGCAAGCAAAATATGGGAGTATATTCTACAAGAAGAATATACATTTGAGCCAGAGGATCTAGACTCAATTATCACGTTTGAATTGATAGGCCATGACAATGGCTCAGTGGAGGGGCGCCCTGCGTACACCCATGAAGAATGGAAAATCAATGAAGAGCGAGCCGCATTACTGAGAGAGCGAGCCATATCACTGAGAAGTCGCATAAGAGAGGCCTTGATTCGTTGTGGTGGAAACGACTGGTCTGAGGTGGTAGAAGCATCGACAAATTCGTCCACGAAAGATCTGGAGAGACTAATTCACTTGGAAACGGATGCAGCAATGTTGCAGCGTATGCTCAACGTGAAGCAACACCATCATCACTCACTTCTGATAAATGCGATGCTAGATAAGACGGGCCAAGAATCGTTTGAATGTGTGGAGCTTCTTCTACGACATGGAAGCCGTGTAGAAGAGTCAGAGCTGCACTATGCACGTCAGCACGCCTTTGACCGACACGGAGGTATAATGATCTTCATGTTATTGGCCAGCTGTACTAAACATCAAGTCGCATCCGACGCGTTGCGCACTTTGTGTAACCCCAGCGACTCACCTGAAAGGACTCATACGCTGTTTCAAATTTTGCTGAGGTCTGGGGCCAATCCAACACTGACGGACCAGGATGGGAAGACTCCTCGAGATGTTTTCCGGAGTATGAGCAAAGAGATGGTGAAACTTTGGGGTGAAGGGCCTCGTAGCCTGTATCGGTACACACCACTGGAAGAGCTCGGTAAAGGACGCCTGGGGAAAGGGCTAAGGGAAGACATCGTCGAGATCATGAGTCTCTTGCAGCACTGGGAAGACTACCATAACAATCCGAAAAGCGGCAAACCGTCCGATAGACCAGATCCAGATTGGGAAGCGTTGCGTGGCTACATCGACGACGAATCAAAATGGGCAATATTAGTCGAGAAGAACCCCGAGGGCTTCAAGATCGTTGAAGGGACTTGAATTGTTCGCCATGCCGCATGCCGCCTACATCAGAGCAAAATTCTTCAACTTGCTCGGATCCGGTACCATGTAGGCGGCACGCAACACTGAGGCTCGTGGTTTTAGGTTCCTTAGACGAGCTGATCAGGTGCCAACATCACCAGTACAAGATTGGGCTGAGACGTGTAAGGTCCAACGAGCTTGCAGGGAAAGACTCAGGCTATGTAAAGACGAGATGGGATCCGGAGAAAATGTCGATATTTCTATCTGTCTAAAGAGTGTATTCCGGAACTACCATGCGCCTCGCGCCGGGCAGACCTTACCGTCCATCCCCGTCCCAAGCCAGGATCGGACTCAATAACTCAGAGCCGAGCCATTTCCAGGCCCGCTCTTCGTTAAATTGCAATCCTCTCTACCGCATCCTTCATAGCCCTGATCTGTCCCGTCAAATCGCTCGCCTCATTGCTGGTGAGGCTGACTGCCACAACCGAGCGGCCGACGCCGCACGCGCGTCCAAGTGCCATTTTACTGGGCACGTAGACGAACGGCACGTTCTTGTCTTCACACAAGAGCGGAAGATGAAGTGTAATGGCGAGGGGCTCGGCGTCGCTAGCCATGATGATGAGCTCGGAGGTGCCTCGGTTCAACGTTTTGGTTGCTTCATTGGCGCCCTTGGAGATTTGGTGGTAGTGAGTCGCTTGCTGGATGAGGTCCAGAAGCTTTTCGGCTAGGGTGGTGTCGGCGATGGGCCAGGCTGCGGATGGCGTAGCGGATGGCGTAGACATGATGACTTCTCGGAGGTCGATAGAAGATTTTTTTGGGTTAAGCTTGGGTTCACTGCTTGGCTCGCCCGTGGGTTCCTGCGGCTGTTAGCATGCATACATCTATTAATCATTCCAAACACTTACACTGCCTTGCTCGCCCTTGCAAATGTTGTAGTAAGTGGTGGGGGGAAGTTGTAGTTGAGATGACGAAGACCGCGTTTCGAAATGTATCTGCCTGCTTATCGATAACAGCGGTATGACACGTTCCCCATCGGCCGCGCGCCGTAGACCCTCACTCGCCGACATGTGAAGCGCGCGTCGACATAACGCGTCGCGCAAACCATGTATCACCTCTTCAAGTCGATATATCTCCATGCGACAAGTAAGGAAGGTACGCATCCCAACCTTCGACGCATCCAGCGCACTGCAACTAACGTATCGCAGAGTACTCCGTCCTCCTCCTAGGCCTCGACAATGCCGGCAAGACGACGCTCCTCGAGCAAATAAAAGGCACCTACTCGGCCTCGCACCCCAACCTCAAGACCGTCCCCACCGTCGGCCAAAACGTTGCTACCATCGCCCTTCCACCTCCAAATCCACCCATCTACCTCAAGATATGGGACGTCGGCGGCCAACATAGCTTGCGCGGGCTCTGGCAGTCATACTACAGCAGCTGTCACGCCATCGTCTTCGTCATAGACAGCAGCGATGTGGGAAACGCCACGCTAGCCGATATGAGCGCGAATAATGCAGCAAGCATAGAAGATATTGGGCGGTTGGATGAATGCAAGTTGGTCTTGGAGAGCGTATTGGCGAACGAAGATGCGAGTGGCGTGCCCATCTTGATACTAGCGAATAAGCAAGATCGGGAGGATTGCGTCGAAGTGGTGAGGATCAAAGAGGGCTTTGTGAGAAGAGTGTTCGAGGGAGAAAAGGGTGGGAATGTAAGAGACAGTAGAGTGCTTCCTTGCAGTGCGCTTACAGGAACTGGTGTGCAGGAGGCGGTGGAATGGCTGTGCAGTAGGATGGCATTCAATAAAGAGGCAAGACCGCCGGTTATGAGGTAGTTGCTGGTCGCCACGAAGTCACGAATATACCCCCGTTTTCGAACTACTAATTCGAGGCCATATCGATCGCAAGGTGGAATATTGGGCCCTTAATCTGATCGCGACTTCGAAGAATATACCTTCACAACAACAGGATGGCAACATTTTGGATGTGCAGCTCGTCCCGCGTCTGCGGAAGGATGCGTTGGTCAAGGGCTTCTCCATTCCAGCGTTCGCGAATCCACATCAACATGCGAGGGAGTAACAGCACTGGAATGTCGTTTCTGACGCTTGAACATTAAGAGGTGGAAAATCATATCAACACTCACGTTCAACGATATATACATTCAAGCTAGGCTAACAAACTGTGTCGTAGCTTCATCATTCCACTCAAAGTCCAAACCACTTGAGGTCCTCCGCCTCATGCACCGGCACAGTGTGACCGACATTGAGAGCACTGTAACCCACAAGCTTCGTCCCATCACCATAGACCATCTTCGTGTACCCACTCTGCGGAGTGTTCGTCTCGTTCTTCGAGAACGAAACACCCAGCAATCCACTCCACTCCTTCAACTGCTCACCCAAGTTAGGGATCTTGACCAGCGAGTCAGCAGTTCCGTGCCAAGTCGCCATGCGAGGGTAAGTGCCGCTGTAGCCAGGGTACATAGCCTTGACCTGAGCGACCCATTCAGCCTGCGACTTGATTACCTGACCGTTCGCGCATCGCGGGTCTGCGGTGCTGGGACTGGCGCCGGGGCTGCCTGCAACACAGCCTGCGGCGACACCGGAGTAGCATGATCCTGCGGCGATGACGTCCGGGTAGGTAGCCATCATGACGTTGGTCATCATGCATCCGGAACTGCTTCCAGTGACGAAGACCTTGGAGGGGTCGGCATTGTACTTCTTGATGGTGTACTGGATCATGTTGTTTAGGCCTTGGTTGTCGCCGCCGGCATCGCGGGAGAGGCCCTTGGCCGTGTTGACTTCCCAGCAGTTGTTGTCTTTCTTGGTGGAGGGGAAGATGTTGATGAAGCCTTTTTGCTCGGCGAGGCTGTTGTACTTTGTTGACTGGGCGTAGGCTTCTCCGGTGCCACCGCAGTAGTGTAGCTGTTCAAATGTCAGAGAGACGATCGTTACGAGTGGATGGAATGGGAAGATGTACGGCGAGGATGATCGCAGGCTTCTCCGCAACCTTGGCAGGAACGTAGATGTTCATCTGGAGGTTGGATGGGTTCGCTCCGAAGTCGTTGACACGAGTAAGGGCGCCATTGGCAGTTGCGCAGAGCGCAGCAATGCTGCCGAGTACTGAGGTGGAGAAGTGCATCGTGAGTGTCGTGAGAGTCCGCAACACACAGATTCCTGCACCCTCCTCCCCTTCTTATACCCACACCACACTCATCGCGCGATCGTCGCCAGCACTAAACATTTCGAGGTTGTTTCCCCGTGAATACTAGCCGACATAAACGGATGTTAAGGTGGTCAATCTAAAAGTTCCGAAGCGAGGAGGCACGGCTATGCGCATGTGAGAGGATGAAGTTCGTGCGTTGTTTCAAAACACTTTTCCTTCTCCAATGACATGCGACTGAAACGGCGTACCTACTGCTTTCGTCGTGCGATGGAGGTTTTTGTTCCAACTGAGGTTAGCCACCAGGAGAATGATGTGGAGTGGCCGCAGGGAATCAGGGGTCTTGGGTCATTACCCCGGATGAACTCCCGCCAAATATATTAACCTACTACCGAGCTTTGCTCCGGCGCACGTAACATGTGGCATTGCCTACTTTCGCATCTACGTCACTTGTTATGCTGGGTTGTGACTGTTACCGTGAATGTTTACCGGGCACTAACACCTGACTGCATGCTTTCTGCGTGTCATCGCGGTCCATATCCTTCATATGCCGTTGCGCATCCCGACCTCCGTTCTTAGAGCAAGCAAATATATAGATGTTGTGTGTTTTGAGGACCCGCAGGTTGCGCAATAACGGCAGTAAAGATGGGGGCTGACATGCGTTAGTACGAGGACGTGCCAACGGCTACATCCGAAATTGCGTGAGGCTGAAGTAGAGCAGAGCAGCCATTACACGGGTACGTCTTCAAATCGTTGTCCAATTATTCTACCAAACACGCAAATGCTACTGGGTATCTTCTTGCGCGGTCACTACAAGTTAGGGTGCGCTTCCTTCCACTCCTTGCTGAAAGGGTAGTCAATGTATCCCTTCTCGCTCTTGGGAACGTAAAAGGTATCGCGGTCGTAAGGAGTAAGTTCAATGCCCTTCTCTATCCGGAAAACAAGATCGGGTGTGCTGATGAAGTAGCGTCCGAACACCGCAACAACGTCGCGATCCTTGTGCTCCTCGACAATCTTCTTCGCGTCCTCGGCCTTGAGTCCACCGGCAATAAGCAGCTTGCCAGAGTAGTGAGGCAGCAGAGGGTCGAGAGAGTCGTAGCCCTCAACATCCGCGTTGCCGGATACGCGGGCCTCGACAAGGTGGAGGTAGGCAAGGTTGAACGCTTCTAGTCTCTTCATGATGTCTGTGAACTGGGGCAGGGGATCCTTCATCTTCATACCCTGGAACTCAGAGAACGGACTCAGCCGGATGCCGGTCTTGTCAGCGCCAACGGCCTCGACGACAGCCTGGGTAACCTCGACACAGAACCTGGAGCGGTTCTCAACAGAGCCGCCGTAGGAGTCTGTGCGCTTGTTGCAGGTATCTTGCAAGAATTGGTCGATGAGGTAGCCGTTGGCAGCGTGGATCTCTACACCGTCGAAGCCAGCCTCGATGGCGTTCTTGGCTGCTTGTGCGTAGTCGGAGATGCTCTGCTTGATGTCCTCAACGGTCATCTCTTTGGGAGTAGCGTAGCCCTCGCCGAGGGATGTTGCGCTGGAAGACTTGATAGTGATGTCATTCGCCGCAGCAAAGTCCTTGTTCGCTACACGTCCAAGGGCCCAAAGCTGGAGGTAGATGTAAGAGCCCTTCTCGTGGACAGCCTTGGTTACTGGTTTCCATGCGTCGATCTGAGCCTGGGTGTAGATGCCGGGTACGTTCGGGTAGCCACCGGATTGTTTCGAGACCAGGGTAGCCTCGGTGATAAGAAGAGTTCCTGGTACGCAAGCACGCTGGCCGTAGTATTGTGCAGCCATGGGCAGGATCTCATGGTCGTCGTTGACACGGAAACGCGTCAGTGGTGCCATGGCAATACGGTTCTTGAGCTCCATGGCGCCCACCTTGAGCGGCTGGAAGAGGCGGTCTGCAGACATCTTGGTGTTGTGGGAGTTTGATTTTGGTAGGTTCGAAAGTTCGGACATGTAGGAAGATATTGAAGGAAACAAAAAAACAGCAGCTGGGAGGTTTGAGCAACAAGACCTTAGACAGATCAAAAAGGCTATATACGCCCCTACTAATCACATCCCGTCCGATGGTTTGAAATCAGCGCTCGGTCGATCTCGGCATCTGCGCGGTATTTGGCTCGTAGAATTTTCCAAGGCGTTCCACGCCGGTGTAGACCCTGAGGGGCATTGTCCTAAAGATCATCTAGTCTTTAGGTGGTAAAGTGTGCCCGCATAAAGATATGTAGCCGCTGGAAGCGAGATGGTACCTGGACTTAGCAGGAGACGGGACTTGTTGGCGGGAGCGGCGATATCGCCGAAACCTTCGGGCCTATGACGTAAGCTGCATTGGCCTGGATCGTCAAACTGAAGTAGCGAAGGCCGACACTTGTACGTATGTATCGGCAGACACCATCTGGACTTGGGAAGAAATAAAGCGATTGATTGTAGGAAATTAGAACGGTTGCGTGAACATGCAAACTGAGCACGCTAAAGCTGACTAACATCATGTCCGCTAGTTTCCTTGAGAATCTTCTGCGCCCTGCGCAGTTGCTCTTCCAAATCCCCATACCAAAGCCACCGACAGTTGTCATTGAGCTTCTGCTCGATCTTATTCATATCGTCTTCTACCCCTTCAAGCATAAAGTTGTATGCTAAACCGTTTTCGATACTCCGGGAGATACATTCCTGTGTTCTCGGTCGTCTGACAGCATCATAGGCCTTGAAAGCAGCCTCAATATTATCAGACGTCCCGACAGCAGCTATCAAGCGACTAAGGAGAAATGCATCTTCCATAGCCATGCCAGCTCCAGCTCCCATATGAGGCGTTGTGGCGTGTGCGCTATCACCCAGTAGACACACACGGCCCTTGAAGTACGGCTTATCGTGTTGAAGAGTGTGGAGTGCCCATTTCGATGGTAGAGTATGTCTTGCGATGAGATCGATGAGTGGTGGATAGAAGCCTTTGAACTTTTCACGGACCTCGTCCGCACTCGTGGGTACTATCCAATCATCCTGGTCCCAAGTGCTGGTGAGGGATCGATCGTGTGGCATAGCAACCATGTTGATGAGTTCGCCATGGTCGACAGGGTAGGTGATGCAACTTCCTCCATAACCGCAGTACAATGTACCGTTCAGCGCCCTCTCTTCTCCTAGCGCTTTCTTGACCACTTCAGCTGGGGCCATAGCCCTTATCGCGGCCTCGTGCGCGTACGCCGGCTTAACATCTGGACCACATACAAAGCTTCGTACCTTGCTCTTGATGCCGTCGCAGCCAATGAGTGCACTGGCTAGAGTAGTCGTTCCGTCGGCGAAGCTTATCTTGAGCATACCAGCACCCATTTCTTCGACACTCTGAAAGCTTTTGCCGAAGCTTGTTATGTCCTTGGGAAGCAACGCAACCATCTCATCAAGCAGACGTGCCCGGTGTATCCGACCTCGCATACAAAATCCAGTCGGTGCATCTGGTGTCTTCTTGGCGTCAGCCTGATGGAAACCAAGATCTCCAGCTTTGGCTCCGTTGGGACGTCGCTCGTCCATACCCCATCTGATCGTGTTGAAGGTGTTTTCGCGTTCCGGGTCTGTGTTTATCGTGGCGTGTTTCATGTAGCCTTCCAGCAGTCGAGGATCGATAAGGTGCAATGCCGTCGTGGCGTTAGCACCGAATCCAACGCCGGCGCCTATCTCAGCGAAGGCCTGAGAGGCTTCGTAGATGTGCACTTTGACCCCATGTTTTAGAAGACCAATGGCGAGCGCGGCACCACCAAGTCCGCCGCCAACGATTGCGATCGGAAGACCATTGTGGTTCTGGAAAGTTGCTGTAGTTGACCCGTTTGCGGACATTCTTCGAGGTTTGCTGGTTGTTCAAGGCGCTGTTTCCGCCGCTGCGTGGCAACGCCGCGTCTTATATTATTGAACATTCCTTACGGGCCGAAGAGCATTGTCAATCAACTGCCGGACCCGACCCGCGGGGCTGGTGTACAAAGTAAGCTGATGTTAAGCCGGAGACCTAGGCACCCATGAGTTTAAGTTCAGGCCGGCTTGAGGCATATCATTCTCCCGAAGGAGACCCTGATGTGGATGACGTAGTAGACGGAGGCGGGAAGGTGCGGAGGCGGGGAAATTGGGGATAGATTAACTCCACGCTAACTGATGATAATCGTGTTGCTATCTACTCCAAACGCGCTCCAAATGATGTGGGGGAGCAAAGACGGCGACACATGTTCCAGAACATCGTCATGTCTACCGGCAAAATTGTCTCTACGTAAATTCGTTTCTTCAAAGCTCATTGTGCGCCGGCACGGCCTTTTGTACATCGACGCCACAGACTGCAGGCGTACCTACTTCCATTCGGTATACGCACTTTTCTTCCTCGACGATCTTCCAAATCTCGTCATTTTCAGCGCACGCTAGAATGACCATTGTGCTTCGGTTGGGGCCGTTCCAACAGTGCTGACCATTCTCGTACTTGAGTGCGATCCTTTCCCCACTGCCCAAGCCCTTACCATCGGCAGGAAGCTCTTCATCGACGGTGATGGACTCAATGCGTGCAAAGTTGCCCATGCCAGTGTGACCACCACCTTTCTTGGGCTTCTGAGTGGTTCTTGAGAGGAAGCAGTGCTCGTATGTGTATTCGCCAGAGTCAGTGGAGGTGCAGCGGTCCTTGAGGGCGCGGAAGATGGAATCTGGTCCGTAATCCTTGGTGAGATCTTCCTCATGTCTTGTGAGTTCCGACTTATCGCCTTCAAGTTCCTTCTTCGCGGAGTCGAGCTGTGACTTGGCGTCGGTAATGGCCTTGGATTCCGGGGCGTCGCCGGTCGTGGGGTCCGCGAGGATACCGTTCTCGATGAGCGCTACACGCAAGTCGCGCAGCTTGCTGTCCACCCAGCTCCGGATGGAGTCGGGAAGGTACTCCTCGAATTTGTAGACTGCATGCGATAGTCAGTAGATAGCTTTAGACGCGTCTTTGAAAACATTGCTTACGGAGCTCCACGTCAGACTCTTCGATTGTCTCGAACTCGTCCCACTTGATGGCGCTCTCAGAGTCCGGCTTGAGAATCTCATCGAGGTCGCGGTCTAGAGCGCTGTTGGGTCCCGGGCGTTCTTGCGCAGCGTAGTTCTCCCAGGCCTGCACGGCACGCTTCACGCCCTCGTCGTTGAAGTTGGGGTTGTACTCCTCCTTGAAGCGCTTCAACATGCCCTCGAGCTCCTCAACCCGTGATTGTGCCGCATTCCTCTCGTCTCGCACGCGGTTGACGTTGTCGGTAAGCTCTTGAATTCTGTCCTTGGCGAGGCTGGCCAGCACTGTGATCTTGCCGCCCTTGCCTGCGCCCTTGACGACCTTGCCTCGCTCGGCCCTCTCGATCTCGGCGAGGCTCTTGGTCAGTCCGTCGACCTTGAGAGTCGCGCCTTCTATCTGCGTCTTGAGTGTCTGAATGCGGTCCTCGACTTCCTTCCGCATACGACCAGCCTCGGCGATGAGCTCCTTCCGCCGTTGCTTCGCAGCGGTCAGGCTCTTTTGTCTCGCCTCGTCCGCCTTCCGCCATTCCTTCCCGATTGCCGCGCACTTGTCTTCACACTTGATGCCGCCCACACGCTCGTATTCGTCGCTGCCGTCACAGCATAGTTCGTAGTCGCATGCGCCGTCGTTCACGTTGGTGAAGGGAATGTAGCTCGGCTGGTGGCCCTTGTTCTTGCAGTAGAATCCAGGAAGAGCAGGCGTAGCGTTGACGTCTTTGCCCTGGAAGCCTAGAGGCTGGGGTGGGGAGAGGGGCGAGAGGTAGGCGCACGCCGAGGTGCCTGGCTCATCAGAGCCATCGGGGCAGTCGCAGTAGTCGTCGTTCAGGCGTGCAATGGGGAATTTGATGGCCGGATTCGAGATACAAGTGAATGTCTCGGCATCCTTGTAGTACTTTGCAACTAAACATCGACTATCAGCTTTACTCCAGCGTCTACGTGGAAGCTCTCCCTGAGCTGTGACATATGCAACATACACTCCGGAGCAACACCCCGCGGCCGGGCAGGGTCTGACGCCGCATCTGCGGTACTGGCTAAGATAGGGAGAATGAAGGCTAGCGAAGACACGTGCTTCCTTCCCATTTTGAATGTGGAGAGAGCAATTGGAGCTCGAGGCTCAAGATGCTCGAAATGCCACATCGACATAGTTTCAGGGTCCACTGGCCCGTGCGCCATCCGAGCTATCCCCAGGTCTCACCTCCACCCTCAACACTCCACGACCCCAAGGCCGCAGACCACGCCCATATTGTAAGGCCGCGAATTCCCGCGCCCAACACACACAATCGCAGTCGTCTCGGTGTCCAAAGTTATCCGCGCTGACGACCGAGCATCATGTACGTGGGCCAGCATCGCATACAGTCGTGTATGAGTTGCCTACAGCATGACTGAACACCTAAGAGAGCATCAACATGATGGAAACATCTCATGCACTCACTCATCATCGGAACAACTGGCGAAGCTATCTAAGTCGCGCGTCGCTCTACACAAGGGCCGAGCTCTATATGTCAACTTCGTGAGCCCGTGTAAGTCGATTGGAATGCGCAAACTGACCTTATCCATGGCATGAATGCTTCGTCCTTCCTTTACCGTCTTTCCAAAGTATGCGTCACCCAATGTCCGCAGCGCCCAAAAGTGCGTTTGGCGCTCAGCTCGGACATACCAGCTTTTCTCGGCATCAAACGAACAGTGGCCTCCTGTCCAGGCCGCAATACCGGAATCGCGCCCACTAGCATCATTCAATCGCCAATCTGGTGGATCTGTTTTTCAAATTCGGCCATCCATCGGGCCTACGACGCGGCTTTTGGGTGGCCGTCTATGTTCCGGTCTCTAACAAACGCTGCACATGCATTCGATTTGCTCCGTCTTTGAATCTTGGACATCCACATCCGGCTCCAGTATGACTGAATTCGCACGCTAGAATGATGTCTTTTGTTTGCATATGCGCCCAACTCGCGTCAGGATTTATGCGGCGAGGGCATCAGAGTATCATTCTCTTCCTTCTCGGATCCCATCATTCTATCTTTGAACATCGGCATTCATCAGTTGCTCATAACTTCATTTACCTATTCCAACATTATGGTATACGCTGACGAGGATGAAATCGACTGGAGCGACGGCTCTTTCGGCGCTCCATCTCGAATACCCATCGATGCTACACCCCGTTCAACTCATCACAACCCAATCGCGGACGCTTACGAGGACCAAGATTCGCTATTCGTGTCGGAAACCTACGACCAACACCGAATGCCCAGCGGTCTCACACTTGAAGCTGGTAAGAAGCTTGCTCTGCGTAGAGGCCGTTCACTTACAATTGATAGCTCCCGTGAACAACAATGATACCTTCCAGAACCCTACGCGTGTCCAACGAGCTCGAGCCGGTGTTCACCTGAACCGTCGTATACCTTCCAAGGCGGACTACGTGAACTACGTGCTTTACCAAGCTAGCCAGAAGGCTTACGAAGCCACCTTCCTGAACAACTTCGTAGCGCATGCCTTGCATCCCGACCGCCTCGCCCAGTGTTCTGAAGATGCAACCAGCGGCCGCCAAAGCATCGCCGAGTACCTGAAGTCCGTATCACATGAGGTCAACGGCATCACGAAGAAGATGATTTGGAATGGCCATTGCCGCACTGTACACCTTCTTGCTGGAGACGGCATGGATGGCGCGCCATTCCTCGATCTACATACTCTCGACACCAGACCCTTCTCAAAGTACGGTCCTGGCAATCTCTTTCCCGTAGCAGACAGAGTCAACGTGTCTTGGCACCGTACCAGCTCACATCCTTCGATGGTACGATACTCAACCAAGGAGTACGAACTTGGCTACCAGGCCGGTCCATTGGAAGATCTTGACGCTGTATCCCAGACACTGTTTCGCAAGGAGAACTTCGGTATAACTTTGCCCATCGGTCGTGCTGTCAAGCTGTCAACGTCCAAGAAGCGTAAAGGTCAGAATATGCCTGGAGCAGCTACCAGAGATGACGAAATGTTGTCATCACGTAGGAATTGGCTTCATTTCCCGCATTTCAACACAACGGTGGACTTCCAAGACCCTCAAATCATTACAAGCACTCCACTCGACATCGTTCACGAAGCAAAGGCGGCGGATGTCCACCAAGAACCTCGGATACTGTCAGATCTCAGCAGACTCCATAACGACTCCGCAGATGCTCTGTCTCCAGATCTTGCACAGAAAGAAGGTTCACATGGGCCTTTCTCTCTTTACGCAGGGCTATTCAGATCCCATGATCCTGAAGCACCGGTCAGCGACCGTGCCGGCGCATGCAAGCAAAGCAACGGCACCGAGCACGTAGAGAAGGTACAAGACTGGCGAAACAGGCTGATCAAGGATCACAAGCGCCGGCTGACACTCAAGTGGGGCAACCCACCACAGGCTCTCGATCATGCATTCCGGAACTTTAAGCAAGTTGTTACAGCAGCCATGTCTATGGGTATTCGTCCCATCGCCCACGACTACCCGAAGAAGCTGGATACCATCGCAGCCTGGGAGCGACTTCGAGAGCAAGCCAGAAACTCTGCTCGATCACAGCAGAACAGTGAAAGCCTGTCCACTGAAACCACCACAGCTGATTCGCGTGCATCGCAATGTCTCCCAGTGGTCTCAGACGTGAATACTCCCGAGTCCTCTTCCTTCTCTCCACCACAGATCCTTCGACGAGATATTGGTGGGTCATTGAGCAATTCTGAATCAGATAAGACACCCTCAGAGCCATCAAAGAAGAGGAGGAAGAAAAACGAAGCTGCAGACAAGCAAGTCATGCGAAATCACTCTACCGATCAGCAATCGACTGCACCCAAGCCAGGCAAGCAATCGACCAACCAGGCAGTCGTGAAGAGTCCGTCAGTGAATAAGTCACTATCGCTTCATCCGAGTGGATCTACGACTTTGGAACTACATCAACACCTTCCTCCCGACGCGTACTTCGAGCCGATCTCAGTGGATGAGAAGTACGCTTGGCGTTGTCGTTGCAAACACGCAATGGGCCACTACTACAACTCCGGGAACCGCAAGAACTGTCGAGGCTGTAACACCTCGCGCAGTGACAATCATGCTTTTGAGATGGACTTTTACATGCCACTGAGGTCTTTTTATCATCAACCCGTACCAGACATGCGTTGGAAGCCTAGCAAACAGACTGCTCGACTTCGCAAATCAGACCGACCCTGTCACAACGCTGTGGCAAAGGACGCATATTGGGAGGCCGTGGGTACTGGTGCGACGGAAGGCGAGGCTCGGCAGATTGCTGTCGACGCAGTGGTTCAGTACCTTCGACCAAAGCCACCGCCGAAGGCGCCAACACCCGAGCCGACGCCAGAATCAGATCTAGAGCCCGATCTTGGTCCTCATCCTAGTGGCTCGATCACTATGGAGCATGGTCAGGAGATCCCCGACGGCTGTTACTGGAAGAAGGAGAAACCGGATGAGAACCTTGCCTGGCGATGCGATGTCAACCATGGTCTCGGACGGTACTATCTAGCGGGCGACAAGAAGACTTGTCCAGGGTGTGGAGCTGGCCGGAGTAGCCAGGGTAAGAGTGAAGAGATGGACTTCTATCTCCCATCGGGTGTTGTCGTTCGCCAAGAAGCACAGGGCCTCTCCGTATGGAAACCTAGGAAGCCATACAAGATGAGCAAATCTGCTGCTCCGAAGAGGGAAGCGGTCAGCCACAACCAAATGTGTGCCAAGGTGTACTTCGAACTTCTCGCTCAAGAACACGAAACAGAAAAGGCTTTGGCGCTTGCGATAGAGAGAGTGGACAGTGAGCTGGACAAGAAGCAAGAAGCTAAGATGAAACGACAGGAAGCGAAAGAGGAGGTTGGAGACTCGGATGCGGTTGAGGGCGCCAGCACCTCAGTCAGTACTTCGAGGAGGGACTCTGCCGCCACGAGTCGCAACTCTCGAGGAGGCTGTACCATGTCCCTCGTTCCGAAGAAGCGTACCATGGATGATGTCAGCGAAGAGAGTTTGGATGAGGTTGTGGGTCGTCTTATAGATAGGGATATGGGAAGTGATGGGGAGCCTGAGGATAGTGTTGGAGCTTCTTCTTCTTCTGCTGCTGAAGAAGACAGCTCTGGCTCAGATTCTGAATGAGGGTGTAGTCAAGCCATCTGATTGTAGTGAATGGATTTTATATCATGCATGCTGGTTTTGGCGACAGCGCCGTCATATTTGATAATCTACAAGGGGTTCGCTCCCTTTGGAAGTTTAACCTTGAACACCAAAACCTGATTGTCGAGGTTGTAGCCAGACGCATCCACGTACTTGTTCTGACCAAAGTTGATGTATCCTGCGTTAAGTTAGCATGAGCGTAAGAACACGAATACATGTATCTTACCGTTCTGAGTGATGAAGTCGTTGTCGGAGAAGGACACTAAGTAGTATTGCTTTCCCTCATCCTCATCCTGCCTCTCGCTCCTACCAATCTTGTCGTCCTTATCAACGGGCAACATAGCAAAGCTCTCCCACTTCTCGTTCAGTAGATTCTCGTCTTGCTCACCGCCGTTGTGGAGACCAAATCTGCCAAGTTGGTCGTTGTTGTTGAAAGACAGCCACGGGCAGTAAGTAGCAGGCACGATGCTGCTCTTCAATACACCATCTTTGCTCGCGATTTGTCCCTTGATGTCATCGGCTGCTGTACCTGCGACGTTGGTGGCTTTGGAGATGTCGATCACATCCGCGTTGCGGTAGATGGACAGTGTGCTTTCTGCTCCGTGACCAGCGTTGGAGTCGCGCACTAGGACAAGGAACTGGGTTTCGGAGATGTAGTGCATCTCGGACTGACTGGCGACGCGCCCCGTCGGCAGCACAGGAAGCTGAACAGCATATTCCGCCTCTAGCGTGGTCTTGTCATCTTTGACGCGGTACTTGAGGAGACGAGTGTTACGACGCTTCTTCGCGGAGCTGCCACCGTCCTGGATGGTAGCACTCTGGAGCATGGTGTAGAGGTACTTGCCATCTGGACTGGCGGTCAGGGCTTCGAGACCCTGGTTGTTGCCTCTGCCACTGTCGGGATCCTCGGGCGTGATCTCAAGATCAGGATCGTAAATAGGTGGAGAAGCCGCATTAAAGCTGTCAGTTCCGTTTCGGCGGGGAACGAGAGCCTCTGGGGTGCGAACAGCCTTGATCATCTTGCCCTTCTTATCGAACTGGTAGACGTACGCGGCGTACTCGTCACTGATCCAGAAAGTCTTGTCGTCTCCGAGGACCAGGCCTTCAGTGTCGAGCGGGACGCGAGCGCCGCCGGTTCCATTTTGGCCAAAGCCGTTGCCGGTGTCTACAACTATCAGTACTGGTAACTGATGTATGGATTTGGAACTTACATCTAGCTAAAGGAAGAGTTGGAAAGCCAGGGTAGGTGATGGTTTCTGTAGGATCCAGACCCGTCAAAGGCGTACCATCAGGCCCAGTAAGAAGCAGAGTGTCGACGTAAGAGAATTGGAAGTTTGGGCTGGCTGGTTTCTCTAGAGTTGCTTCGACCGGTGTGAAGACAACGCTGAACTTGTGGATGCGGGTCTGAGTGTTCTGGGTGCCCTGTGTATTCCAGCCGCGATCAGGCAGACCCCAAACGACACCCTCGTAGGAGCCTTTCTTGTACTTCCAAGACTTCTTCTCGAATGCAATGGCGCTTCCAATACCACCAATCGTGTCGCCAAACTTGTCACGAGCATCGCTGACAAGTTTCCCGTAGCCCGCTAACTCCTCGTAGGTGTAGAGTTTGCCATTGCAGGTGGTGACATTGGCAGCGGCAGCACTTTCATCGCGGGTGATGACAGGACCAGCAAGGACTGTGCTGACAGAAAGCGCCAGAACGCTGATGGAAGCGACAAACAGCATTGTGAATGGTGGTCGACTGTCGCGTGCCTGAGCAGATGGTTTCTGAAGAATGTCAACAGCCTATATACATGCCCGTCAGGACCGGGATGATCCCGCGATGACGCGACCCGACAGCCAGGCACACGAGGCTATCTTGATGCATATGCAGTCCAAGAGCCACACGTGCGCTGTCTGTTTGGCTGCAACCGACGAGGGTACAAATGCAATAGCGGCATGGCGTTCGTACAAGCCGTGTGAACAGACAAATGGGGTCGAAGAAGCGGCATGTAGGGACAGATGCTCTGCCATGGATGTCACTAAGCCATACCATCCAGCGCAGTGGACTAGACCCTCCAGGTATATGTCCCAATGATGACGCGAGGTTCGTGGAGATGGATGCGCACGTTGCTCGAGAACATGATGTGAGTCGCTGACCGGAAATGGTGCCGAGGCAGGCGTTATTCCCGATCGGGCATGCGACATTGGCGGGCGGGTACTTAGTTCAACATAGTTCAGCCTCTAGAGAGTGTACTCGAGCCGTCTTTTGACATCGAATTCAGTAATGGAGTAAGCTGCCCAGTTCGGCCGGTACCGGGAGTGGTATTCAGTCGACCGCTATTGGGGAGTGGACACGTGAGAAGTCGCCTTTGCCTTCAATGGATGCCTAATCATTGCAAGCTACAACAGAGCATGACCCGTTTCGCGTTCACGTTGGCCTGATTCCGCATATCTTTCTAGAAACCGGAGTTTGTATCGCGTTCTTCTGTGTTGACTTCAGCATGCCCTGCCTGTTCAGGGCAGTGCAATCGAGTCACGCTCATGCGAGTGTCACTTCCCGAGGTCAAAGCATGATGGCTCTGTGGAGGGTAATAGCTTCCTTCCCCAGTAGTACTTTTCCTTCCGCATGTCCACATCCTTCCGTTGCACGGTTGCCCTGGCTGTTACTGCACACACGTTTCTCGCGACTGGAACGTCACCCTAAACCCTCTTATCATTGACTTCCGAACTTCCTGAGTCACGATCTATATATCACGATACTTGACATCGCCCTTCACACTCCGACTCACACGCTGACGAATGTTTACTGCCTGGTTGACGCATTCATCTTAATCTGCAACTACCATGCTTGGGACTTCCGGCGATGGCTTAATCACCAAGCTCACCTCGTACCTCACAACCGATAAAGAAGCAGCCCCGGACACTCCTCCTTATACACCTGATCAAGAGTGCGAACCTCAGTCTGCTTTCGCAACGACAACTCCGCATGATGCCGAGCCAACGAGCAACGATCAGAGCGGACTGTCAGCGAGCAAACCCTCGAAGGCGAATCCTAGACGCTCGCTGAAGCGGTCCGCAAGCGAACTGATCGTACCAAGCCAAGAACGAAATGAGCACTTGACTGCGATTGCCGCATTGAAGGCGGTGCGCTCCAAAGAAGATGGGCGCCGTACAACCCGACCGACCCCATCTCCGACACGTACCCAGCTACGACCTCCACGCCCTGGTTCTCAGCGCTCCATCAGCAATTCCAGATACGAATTGAAATCTCAGTATCACGATCCCAATATCTCATCTGCTAGTCTCCAAAAGCAACTCGTTGAGCAGACAAAGCCCATGGCCAGGCGATCTCGAACACCCGAGCCGAATAAGAACCAGGTCAAAAAGGGTGCAAGGCCAAGTCCCATCAGGTCCACTGCTGTGCGTTCAAAGTCAGAGCCAGACCCGGCGAGAGCGTTTGCAAACCCGAAGACGCGCCGTGGGAATGCGAAACTGAAGCCATGTATCAAGAAGAAGGCGAAAAGTACCACAACGACACCACCGACCGGATTGCAACAGGCAACCATCGACGCCGAGCTCAAGACCTTACGTCGCGTGAAGACGGTCGATTTTGAAGAGACTGGCTCGAGGCAATCACTGTCACTACCCCAGGCACCCATCATGGAAGAAGTAACGATTCAGAATCTTGCAAGTGATACCGGAGAGAGCTCCAGGTCGGCCAGCAATCATACAGAACTCGTCAAGTCATGCCCATCATGCCCAAACACGATGAACATAGCGAAGAGCGCTGTAGCGGAGCCAGCTACTACACGGACAGACGTACATGTCATCGCCATCGCTCCCTCATGGGACGCGCAGGGCCTTACCCATGACGACAGCGCTGACCCAGCAACACCCACGATGCAAATCATTGAGACGAAGAGTGGTAGCTACGAGGTAATCTGGGACGATGTACCGGAAGAGCACACCATCAGGACACGAGGACGACGAAGCTCGTCAGCAAGTCATGCCTTAGAAACTGCCAGTCCAAGCGCCAAACGTGGCGGCCTCGACCGAGTCAACTCGAAGCTCGCAGGATGGTCAGGAACCTGGAACAGCCCGTCAGACAGCTTCAAGCCCACCATTGTGGTGTTTCCTGACGACGATGGTCGGGCAACGCGCTACGACTGTGCAGTAGACGACGACGAAGACCTGACAGCAACAGTACCTCCAAACAGCCGTATTACAAGCGGTCCACATTCTAGCGTCTCATCACGCCCCGTAAGCGCGCCTCTAACCAGGAGCGTGTCGTGTGAGGAGATATCGCTTCGAGACGCCCTTCAAGTGACGCCACCACACGCTCCAGAAATGGGGTCATCACCACCCTCCGAGCACTCTCTTGTCGTACCCAATGTTGAGGTCCCGCAGAGCAGAGGCAGGAACGCGAAGCCATCACCAATGGTCCGAAAGCTCTCGAACCTCGAAGAAGCAGACACCAAGTTTCGCGACCATCGCGACTCTGTTACGATCGCGCACTCTCGTATTGTACATTCGGGTGGTGTGTCGCCTGAACTGTTTGCTCACAGGGATTCTGTGTCGCTGGGAAAGAAGCGCATGCACGCGCGTAACCATGCCGCATCAGCAGCACGCTCGCCATCACGCAGGAAGGAGTTGTCTGTTGAGGCACTCGGTCTCTTCACTGACGAAGATATTTCAACAGTGACGTTGCCGACCGTCAAGGAGCATGCTGCACAGGCGCTCAGGAATAGCAGCGAACCTTCCATCCTTCATCCACCGCAACAGACTGCCAATAAACGCCACATACGGATAGTGGAGTGAGGAAGCGAAGCCGAGTGGTTGATGTGGCTGATGCTCGCTGATGAGACGGACGGCGTGTGCGGTGGTATCTTATAATTTCGCTCGGAGAGCATTGATAGCCTGTAGAGTATGACTCCGATTCGAGTGCGTTGATCTCAATCTCATGCTCACAGGGTGGTCGGTGATGATGCCAAATACAGTGG